GTGTTGTAGGACATTGCTATTGAGTTTAGGGTTCAAGGGAACCCTTTATTTGAGTTTACGGTTTTGTAACCATAACTCATTGAGTTTAGGTCGTAAACCCATGAGTTTACGGCCGTAAACTCATGTTTCTTGACCATTTTGTGTTTTGAAGCCTTAAAGATCACAAGAAGCATTCCTACTTCATGTTTAAGCCTTAGGAAGAGATTAGGGCACCATTTCACTCCTTTTAGGAGTTTACGGTCCCTGGACCATTATCCTTTGGGTTTACGGCCGTAAACCCAAATGGTTTATGGTTTTATGATGTTTTCAAGTACTAAGCACATCAAGGAAGGGATCTAGGCTAGTTTCCAAGGCTTAGAAGGGACTAGGGCACCCTTTGGCACCCTTTTTAGGGTTTACGGTCCAAGAACACCTTGGACCGTAAACACCTTTGATCCTTGGTTTCTTGGGTGTTTTCTTGATGTTTACAAGTGTAACAAGCTCTATAATACTCTAGGATAGAAGTACTTACTAGGTAGAAGCTTGAAAAGGTGCTAAAAGTCCAAGAACACTAGTGTGTGTTCTTGGTGTTCTTGGTGAAACTTGAAGATCTACACTTTTGGAATGATTTCACGGATGGAATCATGTTAGATCACTAGATTAAGTAAGATATCAACTTTTTAGGGCTAGAAACACTTACAATGTTGAAGATCAAGAAGAAAAGTCGATGATACTTGAGAGAGAATTGAGATTTGGATCTTGAAATTGTGAAAAGTGATAAATAATGACTAAGTGTCATATTTATACCCTCTTTTAGGGTTTACGGCCGTAAACACCTTTGTTTAGGCCATAAACTCCAAACTCTTAGAGTTTTGGAATAATATTGTTACACAATAAACCCTAGGGCATCCTCTCTCCTGTTATCTCCTGAAGTACTAATCTTAAAATACTCAAACTTATTCCAAAAAGCTTGAAAATTAGCAGAAACAGTTTTGACTCCTATTGAAGTGAATGGTTGTACATAATAGAAATTTCGGGTTGTCACACCAATCACACCATATGATTTATTTAGAAGAGTGATGGACTTAATGGATTAAGTCCTTAATGGGTTAAATGAGAAACACTTAACCCTAATCGTCATTTTATGTGAAACCCTAATTTCACTTGGGTTTATTGTTGGGCATTTCTATTGGGCCTTGATGATTGGGTTATTAATGAGCCATCCAAGATCAAGCAAATGGACTAGAATAATTAATGGGCTTTGTGGTAAGGCCCATATGAGGAGTTGGGCCCAATTTGGAAAATTGGGCCATAGTTTGGGCCTTAATGATTATATGATATTGGACCATTAAACTGTCAGAGGTTGGACTGGAATAAATGGTTGGGCCTTAGAGTGAGACCATGTAAAGGTTTGGGCCCAATTTGGAAAATTGGGCCATATGTTGGGCTTTGATTCCTAATTGACTTTGGGCCTATGGATTGGGCCTTAGGCTTGAATAAGCCAAGTTTGGGGTAATGTAGTAGTTACCCAAAGAATGTACTTATGGTTATGTAGTGGAACCCAATTATTAATTGGGTGATGTTTTGATATTGACAGTTCGGGAAGCTGTCATCCAGCAGCTGGGATTGTGTCTACGGGACTTCAACAGTGTGAGGTGAGTTACCTTCCAGTAGCGGTGGGTCTATGGCCACAATGCCGGCCCACCAGTAGGAGTTGTATGTTAGATGACTGTCTTTGTGATATTCATCTAGGTTTGCTACTACCTGATATGTTTATGTGCTAGCATGATATGTTATATGTGATAGTGGTAGTAGGGGGAGAATAGTCCCCAAGTTTGGTCGTTAGGACCGAAGGGTAGGTCGGGCACCCCAAAATTACCTGACAGTATGTTTATGCTATGATATTATGTGGTAGTAGTAGGAGGTGAAATAGTCATCGGATGTCGGTCGTAAGGACCGACGGGTAAGTCAAGCACCCCAGAATGGCTTGACCTGGGTAGTCAGGCACCCCAGAATTGCCTGGCAGTATATGTGTGTTATATTATTACGTGGTAGTGGTAGGGGTGAAATAGTCCCCGGTAGTCGGGCGACATAGACCGACGGGTAAGTCAAGCACCCCAGAATGGCTTGACCTGGGTAAGTCAAGCACCCCAGAATGGCTTGACCTGGGTAAGTCAAGCACCCCAGAATGGCTTGACCTGGGTAGTCAGGCACCCCAGAATTGTCTGATAGTATGTTATTGTATGGTGTGTGGTATGATGGGGGAACTCACTAAGCTTTGTGCTTACGGTTTTCAGTTTTGGTTTCAGGTAGTTTGTTTTTAAGGAAAGGAGCCGGCTCGATCGCAGCGCATCACACTATGTTTTCCGCACATGAGATCTTTGGGATTACACTCTGATATGGTTTTATGATAATATGTTTTGATTATTGACACTTTGGTTTTGACATGAGATATTAATATGAATGTTTTTATACTGATGGTTTTATATAATTACTTAATTAAAACAAAATTTTTGGTCTTGAATTTTGGGATGTTACACAATTATTAATTGGGTGTTATTTGGTGTTGACAGTTCGGGAATCTGTCATCCAGCAGCTGGGGTTGAGTCTGTGGGACTTCAGCAGTGTGAGATTGAGGCTGCGGGACTTCAACAGTGCCAGGTGAGTCTCCTCACCATACCAATGGGTCTAAGGCACCAAGGCCGGCCCATTTTATGATATGTAGTACACTAGTTGAAGTTGTATTATGTGGCATGTTAGCTGGTTACGTGCTAGGAAGTATGTTAGTAGTATATTTGTTATGCTTGTATGGAAGACCATGGGAGAGCCCATGGCCCCTGGATGTAAGACCATGAGAAGAGCCCATGGCTTTCCTATTATGTTGTAGTGTTTATTGTAGATTCACTACTGATATGTTTGGTATGCATGTATATGTGGTATGCTAATTGTCTTGTGATATTTGCATGGAAGACCATAGGAGAGCCCATGACACCTGGATGTAAGACCATGTGGAGAGTCCATGGCTTTCCTATCAAAGACCATGGGGGGAGCCCATGACACTTAGGTGTAAGACCATGTGGGGAGCCCATGACATCCTGGAGTAAGACCCTGGGGACGAGCCCACGACATCCATATATGTTGATATGCATGGCTATGTGATTGATATGGATATGTGATTTATATGGTTTATGTAACTTTTATAGCTAATATGGAATATGTGATTATGTGGACTGTGTGGGGTATGCTCTGGGGAACTCACTTAGCTTCGTGCTTACAGTTTGCAGTTTTGGTTTCAGGTATTACGTTTCAAAGGAAAGGAGCCGGCTCGATCGCAGTGCATCACACTATGATTTTCAGTACATTAGATCTTTGGGGTTTACACTCTGATATTGTTTTATGATAACATGTTTTGATTATTTCTACTTTGCTTTTGACATGACATGATATTATGGATGTTTTATTATACTGATGGTTTTATAATAACCTAATTAAAAATAAAATTTTTACCCTTGATTTTTGGGTCGTTACACCTCTTTGTTTGGTATCAGATGTGAGCTAGGGACATGCTAGATTGAGAGAAGTGTATAAACTTTATGTGATGTGAACATGTAAATTCTTGTTTGAAAATATTTGTTTAAAATGTTTTAGGACAAGCATGCTAGTGTTGTATCAACTTAATAGATGTGTTGTGTATGAAAGGAGTGTGTGATGTGAAATGTAACAACTTCATAAAATTACATGTTTGCATGAAAAATAACCCTTAAAGAGGTAATATGTTAATAAAAGAAAATTAATAATATTTAGATGATTACTTGAAAGGGTAAAAGTGTAACTCCTTATTTAATTAATCATTATTAAATTAAAAAGGGAGCGGGGCGAATGGTAGTAACTTAGTTATAGTTATATACCCAATCCGAATATTATGAAAACCTAGTGGGTTGAAAGATACCTATAAGATAAAGAGCTTAAACCAACTTTGACGCCGACTACTCGGGACATGGTCTTGGTACACCTTGGTATACCGGGACTGGAGTGATGTTGGTCAAGCGGTGGGACTAGCGCAAACATCACGTGGGATTTGGGAGGTGTATCGGTGGGAATGGGCACCGCTCGTACCAATCCTTAATGACAACGCATGTGCACAGTCGGAGTAGCGAACGCAACGCACCGAGAGCAGTGATTACGGGTGAGAGTCGCGCCTCACTTAGTGCATTGGGTCGTGCCGGTCACGTTAGTAGCGAACAGGGTCTTGCTTTGGGGTTTTTGCGGTGAATAAATGGACCCTAACTAGAAGGTAATACTTTAATAATTACAATGGTGAGCGGTGAGTATTTATTAATGTAAAGCAGAGAAACAAAATATTATATAATAATATTTAAGCGGTAAATCGGTGAGATAAAATTAGTTACAGTGGCGTTGAGGAGAGTAACTAACAAAACAAGCTCTAACTAAAGAAATAAAATAAATTGAGCTAAACTTGTGTTTGTTATGTGGTGTGATTTTGTATGTCGTGCCTGTGAGTCATTGATGGTGTGTGAATGTTTTGTGTGAATCTATCTATGATATGTATGTTCTCTTAACACTGTACTATACTGACTCACTTAGCTTATGCTAACACTTGTTATTTGTTTGTTGGTTTTCTTTGTGTGTTGGAACAGGTAGCATGACATTATGCCTTGGTGAAGAGGAGAACTTTTGGGTAGTCTTAGTTAGTATTTTTAGTTATGATACCATTTGGTAGTCTTACTATATTGCCCATCCCCGCCCCCGTCCCCGATTTTTTTTAATAAATATCCCCAAACGGGACGGGGCCTCATGAGACTTTTTGACATCCTAGACCAAAACCACATACAAACATGTTCAAATGGGCCAACAATCCAAAAAAAATTGAGGTTGGGACCAAAACCTAGAAAAAATACATACAAGTGCAATTTTGTCAAAAATAAATTTACTAAAAAAAATAAATAATAAATAAAGAGAAAATATGGGAGTGTGGGGGATTGAGAAAGACACGTAATGCAATGGTTAGCCAATCAATAGGAGACACAAATGGCGGATTACTCCCACCAATCAGAATATTCAAGCGTAAAAATTTGGTGCTGCGGTCGTTAAACGAACAGATCATGAAGAGATTCGCCATCGCTATTTGTCGCTATGCAGTATCGAGCATTGATGAAAAAGTAGAAACTGAAGGTAGCAGTCTGCACGTTACATGCTTCGTACTTCCTTGATTCAGTTGCTTGCTCTGTCTATATCTACTTCTTGATATTTTCTCGTCACTACGCTTGATTCAGAACCTTGACGATCTGTATCTGAATCTCCTTCGTCAATTTACTCTGTAAGCATCGTCAGTTTCAATTTCAATTTCAGCTTCTCTCGGATGTGTTTATGTAGCATATTCTCGCTTGTTCAGATTGATTCGTGAGACAATTCTATATGTTTTTTTTACTATCGTTTGAATTTCTTAATTGATATGATTCATATATCGAAAAGGTCAAAGCAAGTGATTAACTTGTTTTCAGGTTGTGCTATGTTCGATATATTGCTTTAATTCGAGTTGGATATGCAAGTTAGGTTTTCTCTTTGGCTCACAAATATGTAAAACTTCAGGTGTGTTTCTTCTTAAATGGCGGCAATACTGGCTTCTAATAGCTGCTATTGCCGTGATGTACAATTGGTAAATCAAGGAAGAACAGCTGAAAATCTCAGCTTCTCAAGATCTCTTTCTATCCAGAAGTTGGATCGCCATGAATGTGCTTCACATAAAACTGAAAGGTTTCGCAAATTTCATGTTAAGATGCAGCAGACAGAATCGCCCATGAAATTTGGTACCAACGGTCGACCTGTAAAGTTGGATACAAATGGTCAAACTGTGAAGTTGGGTGCCAATGGTAAACCAGTAAATTTGGGTCCCAATGGTAAACCTGTAAAGTTGGGTTCCAATGGTAAACCAGTCACCATGGTTTCCACCAGTGAACTTGTAAACAACAAGACACCATCCAAACAAACATCAGGATTAGTGAATGGATCAAGATCAGCACAAATTGTTAATGGAACAAGTCTTGTTAAGAGAGAAACCACTCCAGCACTAGTTAAGTCTGTAAAAGATAAAGAACCCACAGGATTTCCATCTTCTGAAGAATTAAAGGTCTTGCCATCAGATGAAAGTTTCAGTTGGGCAAATGAAAATTATAATTCGGTACAAAGATCAATAGATGTTTGGTCTTTTGTTCTTTCTTTGCGTGTTCGCGTTCTATTGGACAATGCAAAATGGGCATATCCTGGAGGCTTCACAGAAGAAAAACAGGTTTGTATAGTTATATCTGAATATGGCTGTTTCTGTTTTTTCCCCATTAAGCCCATTAAGTAAAAAAGAATCAACCCCTTAGTTTCTGTTATCATCCATTTACTAACTGCTATATGCATATTCAGAAAAACAGAAGAAGAAAAACAGCTTCATGGTTAAGAGAGAGTGTGCTTCAACTTGGCCCAACTTTTATAAAACTAGGGCAGTTATCTTCAACAAGATCAGATCTATTTCCACGTGAATTTGTCGATGAGCTTGCTAAATTACAGGTATAGTTTGCCTTCTCTAAATATAACTTCTAGATTACATCAAAGGTTAAAATGAGGATTCTGATGTTTTATTGTTAAATATGATTCAGGACAGAGTACCAGCTTTCTCACCAGCAAAAGCAAAAGGTTTTATTGAAAAAGAATTGGGAGCTCCTGTTCATATAATCTTTAAGGAGTTTGAAGAAAGACCAATTGCAGCTGCTAGTCTTGGTCAGGTGAAGTCTATCTCTATCATTTCTTTTTAAATCTAATTAAATTATCTTAATATGGACCTCATGAAATTTTTTGGTTTAGGTACATCGTGCAATATTACATAATGGAGAGAAAGTGGTTGTTAAAGTTCAAAGACCTGGTTTGAAGAAACTTTTTGACATAGATTTAAGTGAGTATCCCTCTTACGTATTTACCTACAATTTTTTCAGTTTTTAGTTTTTACCATGACTCATTAATACCCTTTTTTCATTCAGAGAATTTAAAGCTGGTGGCTGAGTATTTTCAAAGGAGTGAAAGTCTTGGTGGTCCAACAAGAGACTGGATAGGCATCTATGATGAATGTGCCAAGTAAGTATGCATTCCATGATAATAGTGAAGATTTTGTCTGATGTTCATATTTACCATCATTTCTATACAGAAGGGTAAAATGGTCATTTACTGAGAGTAAGACAGTTCATTCAGTCCAAAAAAATAAAGTCTTTACGTATACAACACTTTATCGAGCCAAACCCATTCCATGATAATACTGAAGCTTTAGGGTAAAATGGTCGTTTACTCATATTCAAACAGTTCATTTGAATGTCTTCAAGTCTACCATCATTTCTATACACATAAGGATAAAATGGTCATTTTCTTAGATTCATAAAGTTCATTCGAACCAAAAAAAACAAAGTCTTTATGTATACAACACTTCATCCAGACTGACTCCATTACCCATTCAGCCACTTTATACACAAGGATAAAATGGTCCTTTACTAAGTTGATTTTTTGCAGGATCTTGTATGAGGAGATTGATTATATAAACGAAGGGAAAAATGCTGATAAATTTCGTAGGGATTTTCGTAATGTTAAGTGGGTCCGAGTGCCTGTATGTTTCTTCCTGGAGCCCTTTCCTTTTTTTTTTTTAATTGTAATAACTGATTTATAACATCAAGAAAAAATATATATATCATGGAATTTTATGCATTATGATATAATTTAATGGTCATTGTTGTCATGCAGCAAGTATTCTGGGATTATACTGCAACAAAGGTGCTAACTTTGGAGTATGTACCAGGTTTCAATCTGAACTCTATTATTATTTGGGTTTATTTAATCTGTTATTTATTTCCAAAGAGTCATATAGTTACTTACCATAATTAAATTTATGTTAAACAGGCATTAAGATCAATAATTTGGATTTGATAAAAGAAAGGGGTTACAGTCGATCTCAAATCTCTTCACATGCCATTGAAGCATACCTGATTCAGGTTTAATAAACTTCATCCTTATCCATCATCTGTCATAACTCATATTTATTGATTAACAAAAGTCTTTTTCTTTTCACATCAGTTTTATTAAATTTTGTCAATTCTATATGCAGATACTGAAAACTGGTTTCTTTCATGCTGATCCTCACCCTGGAAATCTTGCAATTGACTCTGATGAATCACTAATCTACTATGATTTTGGCATGATGGGGGAGATTAAATCCTTCACTAGAGAAAGATTGATGGATCTTTTTTATGCAGTTTATGAAAAAGATGCAAAAAAGGTCTAAAAACTTTTGTATTATTTTAGGTGCTTCAATACAGTAAGTACTTGGATTAGCTTAAAAATAGCATCTTTTATTGTTATTTTTGCAGGTTATGAACAGTTTGATAAGTCTTGAAGCACTTCAACCTACTGGAGACATGTCATCAGTATGTAAAATAGTATTTTATCATTCAAAATTGAGTAAATTACAGAAATAGTTCCTGTGTTTTATCATTTTACCGTGTTTACTCCAAAAATGACACTTTTTTTCAATTTTGGTCCTTATTTCAAGGTTTCATATCAATTTTGGTCCCTGGAACCTTGAAATAAGGACTAAAACTGCAAAAGGTTTCAAATTTGGACTAAACATGGTAAAAATTCAGAAAATATAGGGACCATATTTGTAATTTACTCAATAAAGTTTCAAGAGTGAATTACATTTTTGGTCCTTGAGTATAGCTGATACTTTCAGTATTGGTACCTAAAAGTTTTCTCTTGCAATTTTGGTCTTTATCTAAGGTTTTTGTAACATTTTTGGTCCCTGTTCCAAGTAAAATGACTACATCAGAACAAGAACCAAAAAAGTTACAAAAACCTCAAATAAGGACCAAAACCGCAAGAGAAAACTTTATGGGATCAAAATTGCAAAAATCAGCTATACATGGGACAAAAATGTAATTAACTCAAATTTCAGTGTCTTATGTTCTAACTTCTAATACCTGATTGTATATTTCAATCATAGGTGAGAAGATCTGTTCAGTTTTTTTTGGATAATTCTTTAAACCAGTCACCAGATCAGCAAACAACTTTGGCTGCAATAGGCGAGGTATGCTGTTTCATGCACTTTTACAATTACTTTTAAGTTTCCTGGATGGGCTAAAACGTAATTTCACAAGTTTAATGCAACAAGACTTTTTTGATAATGTCATGATTTGCTTGCAGGATTTATTTTCCATTGCCACAGATCAACCTTTCCGCTTCCCATCAAACTTCACATTTGTGATTAGGGCATTTTCCACTCTTGAAGGTCACCTTCCTCTCTCTTTCTACACACACACACACACACACACACTAATATTAATATATATATGTACATAAATATGCATATTCATATACAATATAGCCAATCTCACTATTTATAATTATGTCTCATAGGAATTGGCTATTCACTGGATCCAGATTTTTCATTTGTCAAGATTGCTGCACCTTATGCACAGGTTAGATATTTTTCTAAGGGGCTGTTTCTTCTTAAAATAAAAACTAATTAGAAATATAATACTTTCACATGTCTACACTTAAGTTTGAAAAAATATTTAAATCTGTGTCCTCTGACATCACATTTTTAAATGACTTACAGGAGCTATTAGATCTCAAACAACAGCGCAGTGGGACACAACTTGTACAGGAGATACGAAAACAAGCGGATGATGTAAAATATATATATCTTTCACTATTTTCCCTTAAATAAAAATATTAAAAATATAAAATTGTTAAATGTTTCTAAAAACTTTCAGGCAAGATCATACACGATGTCAATGCCTTATAGAGTTCAACGAATCGAAGAGTTTGTAAAACAACTAGAATCAGGAGACCTTAAACTTCGTGTCAGAGTTCTCGAGGTATACTTTACATTTTTTTTTACCCCATAATAGCAATTTTTTTTATAATTATTTTAATATTTTTAAATGTTTATTAGTCTGAGAGAGCAGCTAGGAAGGCAACAATATTGCAAATGGGAACCCTGTATACAGTTCTCGGGGGTACACTTGTAAATATTGGTCTCACAATGACCACTCAAGGCAACCAACTTATAGCAAATGGGTCATTTATTGCTGCTGGTGAGTGATATAAATTTTTTTTAGAGTAAATTACATTTTGAGTCCTTGAGGTAAGCTATTTTTTTCAATTTTTGGTCCGAAAAAGTTTCATCTTGCAATCGTGGTCCTTATTTGAGGTTTGTGTAAGGTTTTTGGTCACTACTCACTATTCCATGTGAAATAACTATATTTTTTGGTACAAAATGAAAAACCAGTTATGCTCAGGGACCAAAATCAATCATTTTACTTGGGAAAAGGACCAAAAATGTTACAAGAACCTCAAAAAGGACCAAAACTGTAACAATCAGTAATACTTAAGGACCAAAAATGTATCAAGAACCTCAAATAAGGACCAAAATCACAAAAATCAGTTATATTCAAGAACCAAAATGTTACAAGTACCTCAAAGAGGATCAAAATTGCAAAACTCAGTTAGTTATACCCCAGTACCAAAAATGTTACAAGAACCTCAAGGACTAAATTTGCAAAAATCAGCTATAGTCAAGGACCAAAAATGTTACAAGAACCTCAAATAAGGACCCAATTTGAAAAATCAGTTATACTCAAGGACCAAAAAATGTTACAAGAACCTCAAATAAGGACCAAAATTGCAAAAATCAGCTATACTCAGGGACCAAAATGTTACAATAACCTCGAATAAGGACCAAAACTTAAAAACTCAGTTATAATCAAGGACCGAAAATGTAATTAAATTTTGTTTTTAAGTTGGGATTTTATTTTGTAGGTGATGAATATTAACAAATTATATGAATGCAGGTGTTTTTCTAGCATTACTTATTAGGTCAATGCAAAGGGTGAAGAAGCTTGATAATTTTGAAAAGATGATCTAAATTTAGGGACATTATTTAGGTTCCCAATTTAAGTACCTAAATAGCATTTTTTAAACACATGTATTATTTTGTATACATAGCTGTATAGAAAAGAAAGTAAAGCTCAATTGCAAATGGATACAATATAGAAGTCCCTTTGCTTTTTTTTTTTTTACCAATATAAATGTATTTAATTTTACCCGATATAACTATGTAATTACATTTCTTTACCCCAAAATAGCGAGGTATTTCATATTTCATCAATCATAACAATGTGTAACTCATTGTATCAGCATACTTTACATTTCTTTACGTATAATAGCAGCATACTCACAATAGCAACATGCTTATATTTCTTTACTGATAATGAGAATAATGGTAGCCAAAATGTAAATATGTTGCTATTATGAGTAAAAATTACAAGTATATTGCTATTATGGGTACGAATAAAGTACATTGATATAACTTTGTAAAACACTTTAACTACATATGCAACACATTTTTTAAGAGGGTGCTATCATTGAAACGTGAGTTGTCTTTTAAGTGTGACGTAATAAAATCATTCACGTTTTAAAAGTTGTCTAATAAACAATCATATACTAGAATAATTGGTATCATAATATCAACTAAACTTTTAAAACCAATTTTTTTTTTCTAAATATTTAAAAATCATCATACATAACATCGATACATGTCTTTTTGTAGCTGTAATGTTCCGATATTCAATAAGAAACCAAAATCTTTTAAGAAACCATTAAAACCAATCTCGTCCACCTGTTTATTTTGATCTCACAAGTTAATTCGCTATTAATTAAGTAAAATAGTAATTTAGTAAATATATAATTCTTGTAACTAACTTTTGTAATTATTTAACGCTCCTTAATTTAAGTAAAGCACTATTTTTGTTTTTTTTTACGGTTTTATTTTTATCTGGAAATAAATGAATATAGCAAAATTCGAACATTTTGTTATCTACTGAACGATCGACTGGGAACTATAGGTTTCTCTTTCACGAAGCTATTGGTTGTTTGTTCTTCTTCGAATTTAGGTAAATCAGGATAATCTGGATGTTATCCCAGATATTTAAGTATGTTTATGATTTTTAAGATGTATGTGTTGTCTGGGAGTTGATATAAGGATTTTAGGTATTATGTATTTGCATCGAGTCTTGAGAACATCCTTTAATCTCTAAAACTCTCAACCATTGTATTCTGTCAAACTCGTCGCTCAAGGTTGGTTGTTCACTAGCCCGACCATAAATAACATAGGCGCACATTCCTAGTTTATTTATGGTATGGCCTATGTACGATATTAACCTTAGTTGAGGCTTTTGACCTAAAGGGTTGAGTTGGAAGCTTTAGTTGAAGGCATGTCAGAATTTTTATTAAGTGTTCTCATCGCGGGTCAGAGTATCTATATATAACTCTTTTATATTATTGTTTGTGAAGTTTGTAGTATTATTAAATTTGTCTTGTACTCCAAGACTACCAATCACATACGAGGGCCAGACATGAAACACCGGAGGTAGGAGCATTGTGGCAATTAAGCCGTTTTGAAATCCAGCAACCCTAGCGGCCCTTCAAACCTGTTGCCTCTCTCGTGAGCAGTCGAGAAGTAGTATATTTATTAATAATACTTTTATTAGGAGCTTGTAGCTATAGTTGTATTTCCTCTTTCGAGGATACGAGTTCTCTATAGCCAATTTAGCTCTGATACCCAGGGGCGGAATACGGACACTAAAACTAGGGGGGCTAGATACCAAAGAAGGCGAATATATATTTGTTTTGATTTTTCAAAAGCTAATTTATATTTTTACATAGTATGTTATTATTAGAAATGAGAAACAAATTCATATTTTACAATTATTCTCTATAAGGTTATAGAATTCAATCAATATATCCATCCATATTATTGATTAGTCCATTTTAACCAAAAATTACATAAATGTTCAATATACCTTTATTCTCTAATAAAGCTAAAATCATAAAAAAAAAACTAATCAAAATTGACTATCTTGAAATTAATAATTAACCTATAAATCACATTAAACACATAGAATTGAATCTCGAAAGGTCTAATATAATTGACAATCTTAAAATGTTAATAAAATAATTAAATTACATTACAAATATATATTATATATAGTATAGACCCTAACATAAGACAACAATTAAATAAAATTAACCAAGTAAAAAAACAAGAGATTTTTATTGCTAGCATATTAATTGAAGTACAAAACAAAGGGCGCAACAAAAGCTGACACCAGAAAAGTCTTTTAGCCTTCTACCTTTACATAGCATTTTGACTAAGCAACAAAAACAAAACAAAGAGCTTATCTAAATTTAGAGGCAAAAGCAAAACTAAAATATTCGAGGGAGTATTATACATACAGTGACGAAGAGGTCTCAAAGTCGAAATGGGCGAGATGAGCACCCGGTCAAACACACAAGGGCGTGGTGGAGCAAAGGTTTCCTGCAGAAAAGGGAGCCATCTCTAAAGCGGCGACTGGAGACTGGAGAGATGCAACTAGGGTTTTTTGGTTTTTACTTGAAGTTTTGTTTTCTCTTATTTGTAGGTTCTAGAAAAGTTTAGATTGAAGAGAATTTGTGGGCTTTTTTTTAACAGGTGAGTTTAAATGAGGATTACGATTTGTTAAGTTTTGAATTTTAGATTTAGATTTCTTATTTTTGAAATTTTTATGGGATAAAAAACTATAACGGTTCCCTCTCAAATCTGGAAGTTTAATCTTATATTTCACTTAAAAACTAATGATTTTTTGGTAGAATACAATAATATCTTAAATATTTTCAATATTATTGTAGGATATAATGTTCTAGCCCTACATCTTACCTGTTCTTAGTCAAAAAAGCTGGGGGGCCATGGCCTCCCCTGGCCCCTTAAGGCCTCCGCCACTGCTGATACCAATCTGTCACACCCCGACCGAGGCGGCGGAATACACCGGGCTGTGCGACTTAATTCATGGATCACAAGCAAATTGAATATACATCACAAGTTACAACAATAACAACATAGCAGTTACATTACACTTTAAGATTTGAATACAAAGTTCATAATAATAAATTCATAAAGTTGCTTTAACAGATAGGCCGATTTAACAAAAATTTGATAAACTAGGTCGCCTGAAATCCATGACTAATCTTCTGACTGAAAGCTCGTTTGGTGATACCCTAAGAATACATGAAATTTTGAGGGTCAACACAAGGTTGGTGAGAGTTTACAGGTTTTCTGCTAACCGCAGTAATGATACTTTAAAAGACTAAAAAGTATTCTTTTTGTAGTTTGAACCATGTTTGATAAAAGAGAAATTGTAAGCAAATTCATACTTAAAATATTTGATAGACAGAGAAATCATAAGTAAATTCGTACTTAAAATGTTTGGTAATCAGTGAAACCATGAGTAAATCCATTCTCAAAATGTTTAGTATTCAGAGAAACCGTGAGTAAATCCATACTCAAAATGTTTGTTAATCGGAGAAACCGTGAGTAAATCTATACTCAATGTTTGGTGATCAGAGAACCATAAGTAAATCCATACTCAAAATGTTTAGTAATCAGAGAAACTGTGAGTAAATCCATCCGCAAAATGTTTGGTAATCAGAGAAACTGTGAGTAAATCCATACTGAAAATGTTTGGTACTTAGAGAACCGTGAGTAAATCCATACTCAAAATGTTTGATAATCAGAGAAACCGGATCCGTGGTTTCTAGATTATGAGATCTAGTTAAAGCTTATAGTGAGTCCTATAACCGAGCTATGTGACTGTACCTACCCCTACGACGCTTCATTGGACGTCATAAAACTGTTTTAGATATTTATCACCCGCTTCGATTGATCGGTCGAGGTTGTAGCTAGCAACCACGGGTGGGGGTGTCAACCCGTATAGATCTATACATAAGTATCTCAGCTCCGAAGATTAACGGTTATAGTGGTGTGGGTCTTCTAAGTGTTTATTTTCACTTAGGGTAATGAATAATGTCTCACTCATAAGGCCCTTAACTAGAGTTTGTCATGAAAAGCCGGTTATACTCGATAAGAAAATCCATAAAAATGTGTAATACTCGTTCAATAAGTGGTAAATCTCATGGTAGTGTACACAGTACATAAATGATTTCAAGACAAGAGTTTGATAACTCATATGTGTATGGTTGATATGCGCTTGAAATACTACAAATGTGGTAACTTTTTATGACATAAGTTTTATAACATATTTTGTCATAAAATCATGATATTTTGTATGCATAAATCATTTGTTATATCGGACTAGTTGTATTATTTAAAAGCAACTGTAACATATTTACATCAAACATATTTATCGCTAGTTTATTTGTATATGAAGTATTATTTAATAAAATAGTATTTATAAATTAGTTTTGAAATCGGTAAGTGTTTGTCAAGATCAATAAATATATATATAGCACATGTATTCTCCCCCAAAACGTAAAAATATTAAAAAGGGGCCGTAAACACTCACCCTTGAAGCGTGAACGAGGCTCAAGGGTGAAACTTGTCGTGAAAATCGTTTCATGACGTCCCGTTCCCTTAAAACGAATCATCGGGTTTATTTATATTACCTAAATAACCAAAAGGGTAGTTTTGGTATTAATTATTAGGTATGGAGTGGTCTTTATTAAAATAAATAAATTCTAGGGATTTATTTTGTTAAAACCATTTAACGAGGGACTGATCTGGTAATATATTTCCTAGGAAGGGACTGAAATTGTATATTCACAGCCTAAGATGCAAATTTCGGACCCATCTTGCTAAGATTTTCGATGGGATGGACTGGAAATGCACATTTAAAACTATTTGAGTTTCCAGGACTAAAACTGTTAAGGTTTTCGGAGGAAGGGACTGTTCTTGGTCCTCTTAATGGCAGTTTGACTTAAATGATGGATTATTTCTAGGGGAGGGGCCAAATCTGTACAAGTCTGAGAGTTGAGGGTTTATTTATAATAGAATTAAATAAAGTTTGAACTGGTCATCTTGTCCGTCTGAACTCGTTTACAGGGCGCCAATTTGAGAAACAAGACCCACTTCAAGGTCTACTGATCGATTGATACGAATGCATAACCGAAGGTGATGATGGTAGAGAATCCAACCTACAGTGGCAACATAAGGTGAAGGTGTCTGGTCAAGCTCTTCTCAACAGCAATGGTGGTGGTGGTGGGTTTCTCAGTGGTC